GGGTTCACTTCCTGGAGAGTTTCCAAGCCAAGTAAGGGCAAAGGACAGCAACAAGGGCTGCTGGGACTGGGGACCTTCCCCTTGCAGTGCACTGTAGGTCACTTCACCAAGGGCAGCTTCAGTGCATTCCAGCTGAGCCCAGTGTCTTTGTGCTGAGGGTGCTGATGGTGTGAATGGTTTGAACAGTCTAGGGCTGCTTCCAATTGAGAAGGAACAAAGTGAATACACTTATTTCTCTTCCACCTTTCATTCTCTAAAACTGGCCAGGGTGCAGTATGGGGGGTGACCTTGAACTGTGGAATGAGGGACTGGGTGGTAAAGGGGAGGCACACAGAAAGAAAGGACCTGGACAGAAAGATCAACCAGGCAAAGGAAACCAACAGGGGAGGAGCCACTGGATAGAGAAGAGCCACAGGAGACAGGTGACCCACCATGACCTCTTAGAGCCACCCACTCAGCTCTGGGGAAGTAAGTGTGGCACTGGGGCCTGGAGGCAGCAGGGCCCACAGGGAGGACATCACTGAAGTCCTCCAGTGAGGCACAGCTTCTCCCCATACTCACTGGTGAAGATGAGCCTTCTGTGGTGTCCCAGCACCTGTCTGTGTGTGAACCTGCTGCTGCTTGATGCAGTAGACTTTCTTCACAAGCTGCACCTTCAAATGTTAGTTCTTCCCTGATGCTTTGAGAGACAAAGACAAGTGACTAAGTGAGAATTTGCTGTCCCTAATGAGGAAGTCGCCCTATGGCACTGCTCACTGAGCACACACCTGGCTTTGTGGCACATTGTTCCCATAGTACCACTCCCTGCCTGGTATGTGCTCCCTACCTCTTCCCCAGGTAGCTGGTGTGTGGGGCATAGGATGGGGACAGGGAAAACCTGTTGCTGAGGACCATCACCTAGTGCTGGGGAACATGGCTAACCTGCCCTTAAGTGTCTGGAGCTTCTCTATTACCTCCATTGTCTCTCCTTTCTCAAAAGGTAGCTTCTCAGGGACAAAACCAAAAGTGTATTCTGGATCACATGAAGGATGTAGGTGCTCCAGCCATAGCTTGGGCAAGCCCTGACCTAAGCTCAGGAAGCTAGGGGTCTTAGCAGCCAACTTGCCCACCTCATCCAGGACATAGTTGGAGGGGACCCAGCCCATAGTGTAACCAGAAAAGACACCAGCGTTCAGGCTGCCTGTCACTACCAAATCCAATAAGCAATGACAGCGACTGAATCTTTAATGAGTACTTTATTCAGATGTCCGGCGATCCGAGAAGATGGCGGGTTCATACCCTAACAAACCATCTTGCCTTCTCTTTCCTGGCCAGGTCTTTTATAAGGGGGTGGGGGAGGACAAGCAAGGTGCAATGAGGGCTTTGAAATTCAGGGAGGATTAGGTTAGTGAAGCTGCAGTATTCCTGTTCTCAGCAGTAAGCTGTTTCCAAGGGGCAGGAGGGTGGTCACACAAAAGGCCCAGATGCCTCCAATATGTCCCCAAGTGGTAATCTCTAGCCAGTACCACAGGAGGTCAGCTGCTTTTCCCTGGAGCCAGAATGGGCCTTATCTAAAGTTTCTGAAACAAAAACTTAACATACACATTACTTGCTAGACTTACAGCTTTTTACCATGAGCTAAAATTTTCCAAGTCCTGAGTCCCCTATCAATAGTACCTACCACAGCAGCAACCATTGCTGCCCTTCTCCATGACAGTAACACATAACCACTTTACTGTGAATATTTTACTACCTTCATAGTCATGTAGGCAAACTGACAAAGTCTGGGATGTTGAGGTTGTAGATGCAGTTAGCACTGCCTCTGTTGGCGGGGTGCTCAGCATCTGTGCTGGTGTCAGGGATGCATTGCATATGCTAGTCTTCCTCTTGGTTCAGGGTCCTGGTATGTCCTTCGCTTTCTTCATGAGGGAGCCTTTCTTCAGGATGTTTTTCCTCTCCACATAGTTGGATAGCACATAGCCTATCCTGCTGCCCATGTTCCTCACCTGCCACCATCGCCTGAATGGAGTCATTCAGCAGCCACTGAATGATTGGTTCTTCAGTCACTGAATTAGGTGCTGGTTCTTCTTCATGCTGAGTTCCAGGTCCTGTTGGGCAATTTGGTCCCACCTGGCCATGATGACTATTTCCGACAACTTCTATAATCTTTCTTTTAAAATTATATTTATATATATATATATATATATTGAGAGAGGGGAAAGGAGGAAGAAAGAGAAGGAGAGGAACATTGATTTGAGAATCATCAATCAGTTGTGTCTTGCACAACATCAACCGAGAACCTTGGCCACAACTGAGTCATATGCCCTGACTTGGATTCGAACCAGCGACCTTTTGGTTTATAGGCTGTCATTCAATCCACTGAGTAATACCAGCCAGGGCCTTCTGTCATCTTTCATAGAGTCCACATTTGGTGGTCCATTAGGAGAGATGACTGGCAAAAGAGAACTCCCCAAAAAGTGAACTTTTTAGCTCATGACACCTCTGCAGTTACAAAGCATCAGGGATTCCCCAAATTCTTAAAACTCAAATCTCAGCAGAAACTCTGATCTGGGAATTCACTTGTAGAAAGGAACATAAAATCTGAACTGTCTGAAGGGACAGGGTCGACACCACACACATTCTCACTTTGTCCCGGAGGCTGTCACACTGCTCAGGTCAGGTGCCTGATCTTCATCACCCAGTGACCTGCAGCATTCCCCAAGGACTTCCCAAGGCCACCACCACTGTCCTGCCACCAGTGCCTCCAGCCCCCTCTACCAGCTCCCAGGAGTTGCTCCAGCCTGATAGCCCCTACCCCACACTGCACCCTTCCAGCTTTGCCAATCCCTTTCTCCTTTAACCATTCTGCTAGACTTATTTACACACCATCATTAAAGTATCACCTATTCTGAATTTGACTGTATATTTACCTTTTCCAGTGAGATTTATACTTTCATATGTTTTCATGATACTGATTAGCATCCTTTAGTTTAGCTTGGGGAGCTCCTTTTTGCATTTCTTGGAAGTTAGCTACAGTGGTAATGAACTCCCTTAGCTTCTGTTAATCTGGAAAGCCTTCATTTCCCCTTCGTTACTGAACCTTTGCTGGGTAAATTATTCTTCACTGACAGCTATTTTCTTTCAGCACTTTGAATGTATCGTCCACTCTCTCCAGGCCTGTGCAGTTTCTGCTGAAAAACCTGCTCACAGCCTTATGGGGGTGCCCTTGTGTGCGATGAGCCTTTCTGCTCTTGCTGCTTTTAGATTCCCTTTGTCTTTGATTTCAGACGATCTTAGTATAATGTGAGGAGTGAAGTCCTTTTGGGGTGGGGTCTGTATCAGGACCTAGGAGTTTCAAGTACTTAGATGTCCACATCTCTTTGCAGAGTGGGAATTTTATATAACTGTCACATCATGAAATATTATTCTTCTTTGACTTTTCAGTTATTTAAAAATGTAACCACCATTTTTAGATCACCGGTTGTAAAACAGGTGACCATCTAGATTTGGCCTAAGTTTGCCAACTCCTGGTCAGAAACATAAATGAATGTGCAACTTATTAAAGGTACTGGTGGTAAAAGGAGAGTTTTGAAAGTTTTAGTGAACCAAGAGGATTTCAGCATGTGCCATGCTAACAGATCCATTACCCAGGATATTTTAGAGAACATGGCACCAAGAAGACCAAGCACTTTCATGGCCCCTCAGTCAAACACAATATTCAGGGAGGGGTGGGCCATGACCATGACCCAGAACAGCTGTACTAATGCCTGGGAAGGCCCTCCCAAGACCAGACAGGTTCTCACAGGAGACAATGAAGTGGATGTGTAGATCATGATCCACGGGTGGGGTGGCCCCCCTAGTCTCACTAAGCTGAAGGTGAAATTGAGCCCACATACTCTGGAGGTCCAGTAGGTTTCCCAAGATGAACTGGGCATCAGGATCCCAGGTGAGTCACCTGCATCATCTCAAACACTCAAATAAGGGGATAAGTGGGAGGCACTCAAAATCTTCTGAAGGGAAGTAGGGAAGGGGTGGTAATAGTGACTCTGCCTGGAATCTGACTAAGATATGAGTTTGAGGTCCTTCCGGGGACAATCGCTGACACAGGCTCTGTGCTCAACTCCTCACAGTTCACAAACCACTTTCCTGACTGTCCAGGTGCTTTCCCACAGGGGCAGACCTGACATTAATTGGAGAACAGGTGACTCTTTCAGGAACTGATTCCCTGGAAGCACCATTAGGAGAGGGAAGTGAGTCAGGGAGAGGAGAAATCAATGAAACCTGCATTACAGAGCACCTACCCCTGTGAGCATCTGAGGTTCAATGCACTGGGCATTTTCAGGAGACAGTGTAGAGCACACCTCAGAGTGGTGTCTCCTAGGGACCAAGGAACTGCCATCTGCCACTGGTTGAGCATTGCACCTGGAGCATTAACTCCCCAGGGGTTCTGGTCTGTCACATTCATTGCCTGAGAGAGCCCTCAGACAGACAACCACAGGTGCTTGTAGAGGAATATCCTTGGCATGTGCCTCTATGGAGGGTGCAGAGAGGCTGCTGTCAGGAACCAATAGTATCCACTATACCATCCATTAGCCCCTTCACTCTGCCATGACCATTATAATTCACAGGTAGAAAAACAGATGCTCCGTGGGGCAAGATCTCAGGTCATGGAATTAATGAGTGCAGAGAGTTGTGTCTGTTTTGTTCACCCTTTATGCCAAGCCTCTGGATCAAAGCCTGGCAGTGTAAGCCCTTGTTTAATATTTCCAGAATGAAGGAATGTCACACAGTGAAAATAATTTGGTCAAGTCAAGAGATCTGAGCTGGGATCTTCTCCCCTAAAGCCCATGTTTCCCCCACTGACCTGGCAAGAAGGTACCAGTATCAGCAGCCTGCACAGGGAGTAACATGTGGGTGCAGGAAACAGTTGTTGAACAAATAAGTGGAGAAACAGATGAACAAATGTATTCTATACCCTTATGTTCTATCTTTCCCTCCCTCACTCAGAATTCACAGAAAAATTCCAGAAGCAAAAGAAAGAGAGTCCCAGCCCCACACAGTCATGGAAAAATAAGGATTTCCAACAAAAATTCACACAGCTTCTACTTCTACACAAATCTAAACCCAGAGGCTATGATTTTCCACTCTGGATGAAGAAACATGAGGGTACAAATGATCAAAAACATTTGATTGAGGTCATAGACATATTTGGCCCAGGCCCAGGTACACAGGAAGAGGCTCTCACAGTCGTACTGCATGGGGTTGCTGGAATCGGGAAGTCAACCCTGGCCAGGCAAGTGAGGAGAGCCTGGGAGGAAGGCAGGCTGTACAGGGACCGCTTCCAGTATGTCTTCTACTTCAACTGCAGAGACCTGGCCCAGTCCAGGACACTGAGTCTCCCTGAGCTCATCTCAAAAGACTGGGATGGCCCTGCAGCTCCCATTGGACAGATCCTGTCTCAGCACAAGAAGCTGCTCTTCATTCTTGACAACTTGTATGAACCAAAATGGAACTTGGAGCAGCACAGTTCTGAGCTCAGTCTGCACTGGAGCCAGCAGCAGGAGGTGCACACACTGCTGGGCAGTTTGCTGAAGAAAACCTTACTTCCTTGGGCTTTCCTGCTCATCACAGCTCGGATCACAGCTCTGGGGAAGTTCATTCCTTCTTTAAAGCAGCCACGCTGGGTGGAGGTCCTGGGATTCTCTGAGTCAGCCAGGAGGGGCTATTTCTACACATACTTCACAGATGAAAGCCAAGCAGTTAGAGCCTTCAGCTCAGTCGAATCAAACCCAGCACTCTTGACCATGTGTGTCATGCCCTTGGTGTCCTGGCTGGTCTGCACTTGCCTGAAGCAGCAGATGGATCAGGGGCAAGAACTCTCACTGACCTGCCAGATGACCACTGCCCTCTGTCTGCACTACTTTTTCCACATTCTCCAAGCTCAGTCTCTCAGGACTAAACTGTGGGACTTCTGCTCTCTGGCTGCTAAGGGCACCAGGCAAGGAAAGACCCTATTCAGCCCTGAGGACCTCAGAGAAAATGGGTTAGATGAGGACATCACCTCCACTCTCTTAAAGATGGGTGTTCTTCAGAAGTACCCCACCTCTCTGAGCTACAGCTTCATTCACCTGTGTTTCCAGTTCTTTGCAGCAATGTTCTGTGCTTTAGGAGATGAGGAGTTAATAAACATCAGAAGCATGAGAGACTTGACAGAGGGATATAAGATGGAGGACATGTTTGGGGACCCAACCACATGTTTCCTATTTGGCCTTTTGAGTGAGCAAGGGATGAGAGAGATGGAGAACATCTTCAAATGTCAGCTGTCTCAGGAGAGGCATTACATGCTGCTGCAATTGGCCAAGAAAGAGGTCAACCACACACAGCAGAGTCTACATCCATATTGTTGGCACTTGCTCCACTCTTTTTATGAGATTCAGAATGAAAGTTTTCTGATAAAAGCGATATCCAGTGTCCCTGAAATGAGGATATGTGTCCAAACTGACATGGAGCTCCTGGTATTCTCTTTCTGCATTAAATCCAGCCAGCTTGTGAGGTGGCTTCAACTGAATGAGGGTGGACCACACAGACAAGCACAAAAACCTTCAGGTGTCATTCTGTGAGTGCTCCCTCACCCCTCCCTCCAGCTCCTCTGTTGTTTCCTCTGTCCCAGGCCCTGGAGGAACTCTCACTGGCCTGGCCCCTGTGGCTAAAGAACTGGGGTCACCAGGGACTTCTAACAACCAAATCTGACTCTGATTCTCTGTCTACATAGGACCCTGTGCAGCAGTGTCTGAATATGTGACATTCCCTACATGCTTCTGGGAGGCCTGCTGTGGCCCTGCCTTGTACTGCTGCTTCTCCCCCTGTCTCTGTCATGATGGCCACCTTTGCTCCTCGTGCATGTCCACCCCCAGGCTCATATCAGCTCCCATCCACCCAGCCCACCTGCCTCTGCTTCTCCCTCTTGACATGCTTCCCTCCAGGCACTGCTCACTCAGCTGCTTCGAGTACAGCCTTGATGGTTGTTGACTATGATATTGGCCATGAGGTCTACACCTTCACCTCAGAATGTGTGTCTCCAAAGAAAGTCTCTATCTTTCTCTGCACAAACACTTGTGTGCACTGATTCCATATTGGTCCAGTGACTCCCCTGAAACCCTACCTGAGTATGACTAAGTGGCTCTCTCCCATCATTCTCCAAGCCCAGCAACACCGTTAACTTCCACATCTGGTTCCCCACCTTGGTGGCAGCTTGATCCTTTATTTGTTTGACTCTTTCCCCTGTAGACTCATTTCATAAATGTGTATTAAGAACTGATTTTATGGCAGGCCCTGTGGATCACAGATTAATAAAACACATATGTGACTCAAGGAACTCAAATCTGGGAGAGAAGGTAGACATCTATCCAGTAACCAAAGTAGAGTAAAAAGACTGATAAGACAGGCACAGATGAGGCAGGATGCTGGCCATATGATGGGAGGGATCACAAAAGTGCAGCACAAAAGAACAGAGACTCCAAGGAGGAAATGTAGGACTTAGGTGTTCCATTACCATACTGTATATTATACTTTACAGTCAGCATTATTTCTTTATTTTTATACAAAGACTCTCCTCTCCTGCTATGAAGTAGCCTGATACAATGCCATTCAAATGAGCATATGGTGTTCCATAGGGAAGGTGCCACACCTATCTGACCATTATCTCTTGTCAGACACTTAGGTTATTTCTAGTTGTTATGGTTACAAAGGTGAACTGGTCTTTAAAGGACCTGGGTACAAGTGTCACTAGTGGTGGTGGCCTTGGAAGTACCCTGGGCAGGCACAGAGGCTGAAGCCATGTGAGTAGCAGGAGGAGTCAAGGGCAGCACGATGAAGAAGAGAGCGTGCAGTGCACAGTGGTACCTGGAGTCTAGAGGGTTTCCCATGGGAAAGTCAGAGGCTGCAGCTGCTGTGGGCAGGGGGATTTTAAAAGCACTAAGTCAGCCGGGCAAGGTAGAGAGAATAGCAAGGACACTGTAAACACACAAGAAGTCCAGGAGGAAATGATAGAGATTGTCCCAAGGCTGTGGGAGGGAAACAAGGACCAATAGGAGACAGAATGTATAAACAGCTCAAGTATTTTTTTTGTAATTAAGCACTGTGCCTTTTGATAAAAAAATTTTTAATTTTTTCTTTTAGTCTCTGATTAAAGATTAAAGTTGGCAAGCATTCAAAAAAATAAAAATTTCAAAAATTATTCATTTTCCCCAAAACTGAATAAATGTTTCAAAAACCAAGTAATTAGATTGTTGAGGGGGCAGAGGGTATAAAAGAGCTAAAACATAATGTAATAAAATACAATAAATATTAAAAGTAATTAAACTTTGGAATAATAAGTTTTTGATCCCTTTGCAGCATGAATACATCTTAGAGCTGTGAACATTACAACCACACTGACATTTGTGAAAGTCTCTATAGCACTTTCACGTCCTCACGGAACCCTCCGCAGCAGGGCCTCTTGTCCCCTTCTGGCAGCGAGGAGACTGAGTGAGGCACAGACCAGTGGAATTCACGTGCTGACAGCTGGCTCCAGAGCCTCTGCTCCTCGCCTCTGCTCAGCTCTGCAGACCTGAGAGAGGGAAGGGTGAATGGAACTGGGGACTTATGGGGTCAAGGTGCTATTAGGCTGTGAAGGTGGAGACAGTTGGCAAGAAAAAAGAGATGTCAGTTTGCAACGTGAAACAGAGTCTGAGTCACTGCCTTGGTACTAGATAAAATCACTTAAATAGTGTGTGAAAATGTGTAATTTAAATTGGTGGAAATTACACAAGGCAGTCTGCACTTACACTCCCAGACGAGGCCCATCATCCTCTCCCCACATCCTGCAAATGTCCCCTTCTGAGACAGTCCCCTTCGCCATCTCTGTCCTGGACACCCTCACTGTGTCTTACTATCCTGAGAGAGGGCAGGGTTCCACTGAAGCTGGACAGCAGCATATGTAGTCAGACACAACATCCAATTACAGAATTACCTTTTTAAATTTTATCTTTACTGTATTTTCCATTACCAATTAATTCTCTTAGACATTCCCCCAGAAATCGCACACTACTGTCCATGTCCATGAGTCCATATTCATTTTTGCTCAATCCCTGTGACCCCTAAACTGGCCGCCACCAGGCTGTCCTACAATGTTGTCTTGAAAACACTGCTTCCAGACTCTGTTCCCTGCTCCCACCAACTGCTTTCTTTCCTGGGAACTGGGACTCCACAACATCTGTGCCACAGGAAGAAATACCACTCATCTACTTAAAGAGAGGAAGGCTGTCTGTCTACCCAAGCTCTGTGCCACGTCCTATGCTGGGCAATGCAGATCAAAAGGATGAACTATGTCTGCCCCTGCCCACAAGAATCTCCCAGACTGAAACAGGAACAGAAGCACCAAGTGAACACTGCAGTACAGAATGGCAAAGGCGTTCCAATGAGTAACCACAAGGAAGAGGGGCACTTAGCCCAGGGTGGTGGGAGCAGAGGGGCAGTTGGGGAAGCTGACCAGCTCCAACAGTGGCCCTGCTCACTGCACCCTGGCAGTCAGAGGATCTGAACCCCACTGTGTCATTCAGGGCTGTGCACATAGACCCCCCACACTGGTCTCATCTCTTCTGATTCTCTCTCCCTCAGGTCCAGCTTGAGCCCATTTACAGATGCCTGGTGGCAGATTTTCTTCTTCATTTTCTATGTTGATGGGAGCCTGCAGGAGCTGGACCTGAGTGGAAACTTCCTGAGCTGCTCTGCAGTACATACTCTCTGTGAGGCCCTGAAATGTCCTCACTGCCACCTGAAGACCCTGAGGTGAGTTTGGCCCAGTTCTGTTCTGAAACAGGGATGGACAGGAGATGAAGACAGAAGTTGAGTTCAGAATGGGGTGTGGTCTTTGTATTCAACAAACATTCACTGAGCCCCTCTCTGGCCATGCACTGTGCCAGGGGCCATGGCTACTACAGTGAGCAAACACAGACAGGATTCCACCTTCACAGAGCTTGCAAGTGATTACCATTAACCACACAAACACATGTGTAGTTACAAGCCCAGATAAGGGCCTTTCATGAAAATGACCTTAAGAAAGCGAATATGGAAAAACGTCTGAAGACTACAGAGGATTTACCTAAGTGAGGTAGGAGGGAAGGAAGTTCAAAGTCCCTGTGCAGGAGGAAGGAAGGGCTGTCATGGAATTGAAAGCTGGCCAGTGAGGTTGCAGAGTGGAGAGGGAAGGAGCAACAGGGGCTACAGGAATCATGCAGCCAAACCATCTATGCAAGGCCCCGATGGGATCTGGGCATTTTTTCCTAATGCAACATAGTTATAATCAACACATCAGTACATTTTCAAAGGAGAAATACACTGCAGTATTAAAACAGAATGGAGGAGAGCAAAAGTAGAGGTTTGGAAACCAGTTCATAGAGAAATTTCAGTTGTTCCTATTAAGATGAAGAGAGCTTAAACTAAGGGAAATTAAAATAGTTTCTGTGTGTGATATTGTGAACTACAGTGTTGTTCATGGAAAGGGACAGAAGTGAAGGGATTGAAGAGATCTAAAATAAAGGAAAATAAACCAGAATGAGTAATAGATTGGATTCACAGAGAAAGGAAGATGGAGACATAGAAGATGACCTTAGGTTCAGGCTATAGGAACACATGGGATGGCGGTACCTTCACTGAAAGGGGAAATAGTGGAAGAGGAGTGGGTGGGGGATGGGATGTCAGGGGTGGGATTTTGTGCATACTTATCCCTAGTGCCTTTGAGGTAACGAAGGAGAATTATCAAGCAGGTATCAAATAAAGGTATATGCAAAAACAAGATGCCACATGAAGCAGACCTCAACAATTTAACAGAATTAAAACCATATAAATTCTATTCTCTGTACATAATATAATGAATTTGGAAATCAATAACTGAGGGAAATCTAGGAAATCCACACAGTCACTGACAAGAAACAACATATGCCTAAATAATCAATAGGCAAGATAAAATCACAGCAGAAATTTAAAACTTTGAGATGAATGAAAATAAAAATGCAACATACTGATACTTATTTTGTTCTGCTGAATCAGTGCTTAGAGGGACAGGTATAGATATCAATTCCTAGATTTTAAAAAGGAGATAAATGGTAAAACACCCATTAGAATGGCCAAAATATAGAACGAGACAACACCAAATGCTGAGAGTGTGAAGTAACAGAAACTCTCTTACATTGCAGGTGGGAATGCAAAGTGATGTGGCCTCGTTGCAGATTCCTACAAAACTAAGCACATCATTACCATATTATCCAGCAATTGTGTTTTTGTTATTTACTCAAGTGGGTTGAAAGCCTATGTCCACATTAAATCCTGTGTATGGATTTTTATAGCACCTTTACTCACAATTGCAAAACTGGAGAACAGCCAAGGTGTCCTTCTGTAGGGGAGCAGATAAACAAATTGTGGTACATCCATACAAAAGGATATTATTTTCTGGGGGTGGGGGGTGGGGGGAATGAGCCACAAAGCTATAAAAAGACATGAAAAAACATAAATATATGTCACTAGGTGAAAAAACACAATCTGAAAAGCTACATACTGTATGATCCAACAATGTGAAATTCTTTGAAAGGCAAACATATGAAGATAGTAAAAAGATCTGTGATTGCCAGGCTCGGGGATGGTAAGGATGGAAAGACAGCACAGTGACTATTCTGTATGACAGTGTAATGGTGGACACATGTCATTTTACATCTGTCAGAAGCCATAGAATATAAAACAGCAAAAATGAACCCTGATGTAAACTATGAACTTTGGTGATTATGGTGTGTCAGTGGGGGCTCACTGACTGCAATAAATGCACTGCTCTGATGCCCGATGTTGGTAATGGGGGAGGCTGTGTATGTAGGGGCAGGAATATGTAGGAAGTCTCCATGATTTTTCCCAAATTTTGTTGAAAAACTAAACTTATTATTTGAAAGATCTATTTTGAAGGATTATTATCGCCAATATATCTCCTAGGGAAATAAAGGAAACAAAGGAAACAAAGGGAAAATAAATAAAAGGGACTGCATCAAATTAAAAAGCTTAAGAAAGGAGCAGAAAAAAAGGAAAGGAAAGGAGGTTTCTGACCTCCGGCCAAGATGAAGGCATAGGTAGACACACTGTGCCTCCTTGCACAACCAAAAGAAGGACAACAACAAATTAAAAAACAAAAAACAACCAGAACTGACAGAAAATTCAACTGGATGGAAGTCCAACAACCAAGGAGTTAAAGATGAAACATTCATCCAGACCACTAGGAGGGGCAGATACTGGCAGCTGGGTGGACTGGACTCTCAACAAGGCAGCGGCTGGAGGACCAGGGTGGGCAAGGCAGCAGCTGGTGGACCAGGAGAGGTGGTAGCTTTCACCTGGGGGGTCCCACATTCACATGCAGATAAACCAGGTGGAATAACTGGGGAGCTACATAGACTGAACAACCCAGGGTTAGAGTATGATGAAATAAAGCCTTGAAGCCTCTGACTGAAAACACCTGTGGGGATTGAGACAGCAGTGGGAGAAACACCCAGCCTCACAGGGGAGTTCATTGGAGAGACCTACTGGGTCCTAGAACATAAACAAACCTACTCACCCAGGAAACAGCACCAGAAAGGCCCAATTGGTTTGTGGGTAGTGAGGGAAGTGACGGAAAACAGGCAGAGGGGGAGCAGAAGTCACTGTTTCCTCTCAGACCCCTCCCCCATACACAGCACTACAACGCAGAGACATGGGTTGCCCTGCCCTGGTGAAAACCAAAGGCTCTGCCCCTTACTACATAACAGGTGTGTCAAGACAAAAAAAAAAAAAAGACCCAAATGAAAGAACAGATCAAAGCTCTAGAAAAAATACAACTAAGCAACAAAGAGATAGCTAACCTATGAGATGCACAGTTCAAAACACTGGTAATCAGAATGCTCACAGACTTGATTGAATGTAGTCACAAATTAGAGGGAAAAATGAAGGCTATGCTAAGTGAAATAAAGGAAAATGTACAGGAAACCAACAGTGATGGGAAAGAAATCAGGACTCAAATCAATGTGGACCAGAAGGAAGAAAGAAACATTCAACCAAAACAGAATGAGGACACAAGAATTCAAAAACATGAGGAGAGGCTTAGGAACCTCCAGAACATCTTTAAATGTTTCAACATCCGAATCATAGGGGTGCCAGAGAAGAAGAGGAAGAGCAAGAAATTGAAAACTTACTTGAACAAATAATGAAGGAGAACTTCTCTAATCTGGCAAAGGAAATAGACTTCCAGGAAGTCCAGGAAGCTCAGAGAGTCCCAAAGGAGGAACACACCAAGAAGGAAGAAGGAACACACCAAGTCACATCATAATTACATTACCCAGGATTAAAGAGAAGGAGAATCTTAAAATCAGCAAGAGAAAAGGAGATAGTTACCTACAAAGGATTTCCCATAAGACTGTCAGCTGATTTCTCACAAGAAACCTAACAGGCAAGAAGGGGCTGGAAAGAAGTATTCCAAGTCATGAAAGGCAAGGACCTACATCCAAAATTACTCTATCCAGAAAAGTTATTATTTAGAATGGAATGGCAGATATAGTGCTTCCCAGATAAGGTCAAGTTAAAGGAGTTCATCATCACCCAGCCTTTATTATATGAAATGTTAAAAGGACTTATCTAAGAAAAAGGAGATAAAAAATATGAACAGTAAAATCACTGCAAACTCACAACTATCAACAACCAAACCAATGAAAACAAAAACAAAAAGAAAAATGAACTAAGCAAACAACTAGAACAGAACAGATTCACAGAAATGGAGATCACATGGAGGGTTATCAGCAGGGAGTGGGGACAATGAGGGGAAAGGTACAGGGAATAAGAAACATAAATGTTAGGTACAAAATAGACAGGGGGAGGTTAAGAATAGTATGGGAAATGGAGAAGCCAGAGAACTTATATATATGACCCATGGACATAGAACTTATATATATGACCCATGGACATGAAACCACAATGAGATATCACTGCACACCTGCCAAAATGGCTATCATTAATATATCAAGAAACAACAAGTACTGGCGAGGATGTTTAGAAAATGGAAACTTAGTGCACTCTAGGTGGAATGCAGACCAGTGCAACCACTCTAGAGAACAGTATGGAGTTTCCTCAGAAAAATTAAAAATGAAACTGCATTTTGATCCAGCAGTTCCACTTCTGGGAATATATGCAAACAATCCCGTAACACCAATTCAAAAGAATATATGCACTGCTATGTTCATATCAGCATTATTTACAATAGCCAAGATCTGGAAACAACCGAAGTGCTAGTCAGTGATGAGTGGACAAAATAACTGTGGTACACATGGACAAGGACAACGAGGGGGAGGATTGAATATAGGAGAGGGAAGGTGGGCAGAACAGGGGGAGTAATGGGGGGAAATGGGGACAACTGTAACTGAAGAACAATAAAAAAACTTTTTAAAAAAGCAGTGGTATATATACACAAAATTAGAATACTATGCAGCAGTGAAAAAGAAGGAAATCTTACTCTTTGTGACAGCATGGATGGAACTGGAGACTAATATGCTACATGAAATAAGCCAGTCAATGAAAGGCAAATAGCATATGATCTCACTTATCATTGGAATATAATGAACAAAATCAACTAAAGAGCAAAACAGAATCAGAGGCATGGATACATGGAACAGATTGACAGCTATAGGAGGAGAGTGGGGAGGTGGGGACTAGGAGAAAGAAGCTGAAGGGATTAGACAAAGAACATATGAATAGCCCATGGACAGTGGTGTGGGGATTGACTGTGGGAATAGGTGGGTAAGTGGCAAGGGGGGCAAAGGGGAAAAATTGGGACAGCTGTAAGAGCATAAATAACAAAAGGTATTTTTAAAAAGCAAACAAAGACAAGCAATATCATCACAGGGTATTAAAAAACTACAGATCAAAATTTCTTATGAAAATCCTCAACAAAATAATAAAACCATATAAAAAGAATGGTAAAGCATGACCAAATGGTGTTTATACGAGGAATGCAAAGTTGATTTAACTTAGGAAAACTGATCAATGCAATACATCTGTTAATAGAATAATTGATAAAAATTTCATGATCATCTCAAAAGACTTAGAAAAAACAGTTGACACAATCAAACACTATTTCACATTAATAACACCTAACAAACTTGGAATACAGGGAAACTATCTCAGCCTGGTAACAAACAGCTATGAAAAACCCACAACTCACATTACACTTAATGCTGAAAGAAAGAATGCTTTTGCCCTGAGAACAGGAACAAGACCAAACTCTTCACTCTTTCCAAGTCTATTCACCATTATACTGGAGACTCTATCCAGAGACAGAAGGCAAGAGATTGAAATAAATGTTTTACATATGATAAAGGAAAAAGTAAAATGATCTCTATTTGTACCTTACATGACTGTATTTTAAAAATCCTAAGGAATCCACAGAAAATAGATATTAGAACTAATAAACTAATTAACAAGCTCTCAGGATAAAAATTCAACATAAAAAATAAATTGTACTACATATTAGCAATAAAAAATCTAAAATTATAGTTAAGAAAACAATACCATATACAATAGCACAAAGAAGTATAAAATACTTGGGAATAAATTTAAAAAAACAAGAGCAAGACTCATATACTGAAAACTACAAAACATAGTTGAAGAAATTAAACCAAAATAAATAAATGGTCATACTTCCCATATTCATGGATTAGAAGGCTTAAGACTGGCTGTTAAGACAGCCATGCTTTCTAAACTGATCTATAGATTCAACTCAATCCATATCAAAATCACAGCTGCCTATTTGCATAAGTGGTCAAGCTGATCTCAAAATTCATATGCAAAGAAAAGTTCGCATGTCAAACCTTGGGAAACCCACCCTTCCAGATGCTGCATAGACAAGAGAAGTCAGCATCACTGCCTGAGGAGGAGCAGCCAGGGAGGGGGGAAAAACACCAAGGCAGTGTAGTGTCATAGAACCCAGGGGAGCAGAGGATTTCATGGAGCATATGGTCATCAAGGGCCATTGCTGCTGGGAGGTCAAGTACAATAAGGACTGAAAGTTGTCCTTTGGATTTGTGATAGGGAAGTGGTGGATGTCCTCAGCAAGACAGTTTTGTGAGGTGATGAAGTCAATCCAAATTGGATAGATTAAATGTGAAGACAGAGGTAAAAATGAGACTACCAATACAAACACATTTTTCAAAGATTTTGGTAGTGAAGAAAGAAAAAGAAGTACAGCAGAAGGGAATGTGGAAGTTAGAAGAGAGGTGTTTGTGGGCATGGTTGGGGTGTGTGTGCTTATTTGCACTGAATGAGGAAAAGGCCTAAGTTTGAATATGTGTTGATAAGGATGATAAAAAATACAAGAAGAAGGACAAATTGATGGCGTCCCTTTCCTCAGAGGGAGATCATGGGAGAAAGACTGGATTTGAAGGAATTGGGGAACACTTCCTACTTTAACAGAAGGGCAGGTGAGGACCAGGCAGAGAGAAAGTGGGCCCTGGACACACAGGTTTGACTGTAGGAAGCTGATGGATTTCCATCTAATGGCTTCACATTTTCTTGTGAAGTAGGAATTCAGTTCTATAGTTAGAGTTTGAGGGTTGCAGTGTTAGAGACCTGGGGAAGGTAAAATATGGAAATGGCTATTGTTGAGTGGGAGATTTCTGTCTTCCAGGCATTGTAGGGGCCCATGTGAGAGTCACTGTGGGATTCATACTGGCAGCCCCTGCCCTTGTTACTCAGGTGAGAGTGAGAGTCGGGGAGTGGGAGAAGGACAGAGGTGGGGGTGGGCCAGAGGAGTATGATGGGAGGTCAGAAGGTAAGTCATTCAGCCATGTTGCCATGGCATGTCATGGAATCTAAGCTAGATCCCAAGTACAGTGAAAGAAGAGAGAGAGAGGGAGAGGGAGAGGGGGGGAGAGAGAGAAAGGAAGCGAGCTGAGAGACTGGGAGAAAGGAGAGAGTGAAGGGATTGCTCACTGAAGAAGGGTCCTGGTGGGGTAAGGTGGGCAAGCAGGGGATGGTAGTAAATCCATACCCCACCTTTCAAAAAACAATTCTAATGAGAACCAGCTAAGTCCAGGATTAAAAACCTTTAAAAGGGTCTCAGAAATCCTGCTTTTACCTTAAGCTTTACACCTAAGTGGGAAGACACCAATCTACAATGTACCCCTTATATTGCATTAGAATTTCACAATATCAATCAATTCTATATCTACACAAGGAATATCTTCTGACCCATTGAAAAAGAAAAAAAAAGACCCTGTGTAAATGGCAGAGCCTAGAAAGTTATTTCCATTTTCCACATAATAAAAGCTGAACCTTGGGGAGGTTAACTGACTTGCCCAGATTTACACAGGAGAATGGGAGGCCTGGGACTAGAACCCAGTGAGTGCACAGCCCAGCACCACCTCCAACTCTTCACCATGAAAACCAGAATTGAAGCCATGCTGACTCAATGAGGTGGTGTAATACAAAGTAGTTGTTCACAAGAATACTAACTGGATAAGGCAGATGTGAATATTTTTTCATTAGAAAAATTGATTCAAGTAAAAGAACTCAAAGATTTATGTCGTTGGATGTAAGACTGTCTAAGACCTTCAAACAAAGTCCAAGCCAATGATTGGATTTATCTTGAAATCAGTTGAACATGTTAGACTCAAGGATTCTGTGTTTTGTTTTCTATGAGCATGTAAATATGGGTGTAGTACATGGACAAACTAGAAAGAAGTGGTAAAAATAAAATGTGAGAGGAAATTGGAGATGGAAAGAGGTGATTCCAGAAAGAAGGGAGGCAAGAGGATGTGGAATCAAAGACACAGGGTGGTAGAGCCTTGGCCCTCAGAGAGAGAAGGAACAGAGAAGGGCTGCATGAAAACTGAGATGCGGGGCTGCGTGAAATCAGGACGGAGATGTAGAAGAAAGTCAAGGGGCTTGGGTCCTATGGCAGCAGCATCCTTCAAGCCCTGTTCTGAACACCTGGGATATATTATCTTCTTTGACCTTGGCAACCACTGTGTGCAGTAGGCATGGTGAATTCATGTTACAGATCAGCAAACTTGACGATGAAGAAACCTGAACACAGTCTTCAAATGGTAACTGACAGAAGAAAGATTGGACACCAAATCTCTCTGTCATCCAACCAGGAGAAGAGCAACCATGCCCCACTTTTAGTGCCTTCTACCTCATTCAGAGCCTTTGACAAGGGCCTTGAATTTAACTCAAACGACATGGAAACAGGGAAGGCTTTTAATCAAAAAGACTGAGGACTGACCTACTGTACTTTGTCTCTAGGTCAATGCCCCAGTATATGTGCATTTCTAGGGGTCTCAAGGTCTTAGTTACCTCTGCCTGACCCAGAGAGGTGCCATGTGTGTTAATGGGTGTTCATACTGTACAATTAATGGGTGAATAAACTCAAGACTCTCAGTGTGTGTATCCCACAGGTTCAGTGACTGTGGCTTCACCCCAGAGGTCTGCCAGGAACTGGCCTGTGGGCTGAGCACCAACAGGAGCCTGACCCAGCTGGACCTGAGTTTCAACAAGTTCCTGGATATCAGAGCCCAGCACCTTTTCCAGAAACTGAAAGCGTCCACCTGCAAGCTGCAGCAATTACTGTAATTTATCCTCATCGACACTACATTTTAAGATGGGACAGAGAGAAAATGACGTCTAGGCAGGGTGGGGTCATGAGGTGGGGAGCAGGTAGATGCCCTCATGTTGAAACACACCAAATCATCCCATGCCAGCTAAGTGGGTGTATGGCAGGGCTGATGTAGTTAAAGATTAGACTCAGTGTGCAACTGGAACGTTGCATAATGGTACCAAGTTGATGTGGGGAATAGCAAGGTTGGTGAGAGTCACAGAGGAGTGAGAAAAAGTGACCACCTGCCTCCTTTGTGGCTCCTTATCTGCAGGAGAAAGTTAAAATCTCTCAGGTTACCGAAACCCAGACACATCTTTGTCTTCCTTTTTGTCACAAAGGACCCCCAAAGGGCCACAGGTACTAAAAGGGAAACCAGACCCCAGTTATCAGGAGGAGAGAGCCTTGTGAAGAATGATGATGCACCCGTGCAAATCTCTCCCACAGGCTGATCAGATGTGGCCTCACCTCTGGCTGCTGCCAGGACCTGGCTTCCATGCTCAATGACAGCCCCAGCCTGACAGAGCTGGACCTGCAGCAGAACGACCTGGGTGACCTTGGTGTGAAGCTGCTCTGTGAAGTGCTCAGGAAGCCCACCTGCCAACCCAGGCTGCTGCAGTAAGGCCATGTGGGTCCCTGCAGGGCAGAGTGCAGGGAGGAGGGGGGAAGAATGGAAAGACATGTGGAGCCTTTTGTTAGACAGGGAAGTAAAAGGACAGAAAATGAATTGTCAGCCTACCTCCTTATCAGCTCTGCCAATTACTTAGGCCCAGAGACAATGAAAGGTCTTCAGCTAAGACTCAGTTTCCTCATCTGTTTAATGGACCTGTCATATCCACCTCATAGACTGTGATGAAATAAAATGCGTGTAATGAAAGGGCCGTTCTTAGAACAGACTTGAAAGCATCAAATGATAACCACTAATGAGGTCACATGCTCTAGTGGACTCCCAGGTTCACTTCCCCACTTCAGGGCAGTCTTCCCTTCCTTCCTCCATGGCCTCAGTCCTTCCTTCCTTCATTAATTCATTCCATATCTCTCAATGCAAAAGACACATGACTACCCTCCTCAAGAATTTTTACTGGCTCTTCATGGCCACCTGAACAAAGTCCAAATATTAAGAAGCACATTTAGCACCTACCACTATCTTATTATTTTCTTTGTTTCTATTAGCAGACTTTTTTTTATTTTAATTGTTCAAGTACAGTTTTCTGCCTTTTACCCCCATTCCAGCCCACTCCCTCAGCCCTCCCCACCTCCCTCCTGTTTCCACATATTCCCAAAAACCCTTCCACTTTTCCCCTAAAATTCTCTCTCCTCTCCCCTCTGGTCACTGTCAGCCTGTTCTCAGTTTCAGTGTCTTTTGTTCTATTTTGCTTATTTGCTTGTTTTGTTGTTTAGGTTCCTGTTAAATATGAGATGATATGGTATTTGTCTTTGACCGTCTGGCTTATTTCACTTAGCATAATGCTTTCCAGTTCCATCCATGCTGTCGCAAATGGTAGGAGCTCCTTCTTTCTTTCTGCTGCATAGAATTCCATTGTGTAAATGTACCATAGTATTTTGATCCATTCACTTACTGATAGGCACCTAAGTTGCTTCCAGCACTTGGCTATTATAAATTGTGCTGCTATGAACATTGGGGTGCATAGGTTCTTTTGGCTTGGTGTTTCAGGGTTCTTAGGATATAATCCTAACAGTGAAATTGCTGGGTCAAAAGGCAGATCCATTTTTAGTTTTCTCAGAAAATTCCATACTGTTTTCCATAGTGGTTGTACCAGTCTGCAATCCCAACAGTGCACTAGGGTTCCCTTTTCTCCACAACCTCTCCAACACTTGTTGTTTGTTGCTTTGTTTATCATGGCCATTCTGACTGGTTTATTTTGTATCTTTACCCTCAAACTTCATCTCCCCTCAGGTAGCCTTTTTCTCAACATCACTAAACTCATGCTATAAACTCAAATCCACCCTGTCAGCTAGTAGACTCCCATCCTTCCACCTCATCTTGATGAACTCTTACCCACCTTTCAAGGCACCCTCATATGTCAGCTCCTCCTTCCCTGCCTGGTCAAAATTCACACTCCACACCTCTGCCTTCAGCTTCACCCATCATGCCCCTCTTTACTCTATTTCACTCATTCATTAAGCACATACTCATTAAGTTCCTATTATGTGTGAGACACAGCACTAGGTGCTGGGGTTAAATAGAAAATGTAAATTCCTTCCTCATGGAATATCCATTTGTGCAGAAAAATCAAACACCAAATAAATAAGTAAATATATTGTAGGTGATTTGGTCTACAGAGGAAAGTAAAGCAGAAAGGAATGGGGGCTGGAGTTGCAGCTGCAATTTTAAACTAGAAGGGTTAAGAGGCAAGATTTCCCCAGGGGAACTTTTGACCAAATTCCAGAACCAGGTGAGAGAACATGCCCTGAGGTATCAGGTGAGAGCATTGTCCCTGGCAGAAGAAACAACAGATGCAAAGGTCCTGAGATGGGACCTTGCCTGGACTGTTTAGGAAGTACACAAAGGCCAGTGAAAATGCAGATAAAGAAGGATACAAGATGAGAACAGAGATGACAAGAAGGCAGGTCTCAAGTGTCCCCTAGTCAAAAACAAGGAACTTGAATTTACCTCAAAAGATATGGAAACATGGAGGCTTTTGATGAAAACAGATCTGAAAACTGACCTGCTGTTCTTTGTTTCTATGTCAATGCCCCAGTATATATGAATTACTGTGTGTCTGTGGAGTCCCACTTACCTCTCCCTGACTCAGAGAGGTGCCAGTGGGTGCTAGTGGGTGTAATAGAATTGTCAGTTGTAGTAGAATTGTCGGGTAAACTCAAGGCTCTTGGTACATGTCTCCCACAGGCTGGCCTACTACAGCCTCACCGCAAAGAGCTGCCAGGACCTGGCCTGTGGGCTGAGCACCAACAGGAGTCTGACTGAGCTGGACCTGAGTTTCAACAAGCTCCTGGACATTGGAGCCCAGCACCTTTTCCAGAAACTGAAAGAGTCCACCTGCAAGCTGCAGCGCCTGCTGTAATTGCTCCTCACTGACACTATTTGGAAGGTTGGGGCTGCGAGAAAGTGAGAGCTAGGAAGGACGGGGTGATGGGGTGGGGAGCAGATAGATGCCCTCATGTTGAAAGGCACCAAATCATCCCATATAAGCTAAGTGGGCATTTGATTGGATGATGTAGTTAACAATTAGACCCAGTGTGTAACTGGAACATTGAGTAATGTTACCAAGTTGATATGGAGAGTGTCAAGGTTGGTGAGAGTAACACAAGAATGAGAAATGATGACGAGCTGCAACCTAGTGGCTCCTTAGCTGCAGGAGAAAGTTAAAATCTCCAAGGTTCCTTCAGCCACACATGTCTTTGTCTTCCTTTTTGTCACAAAGGACCCCCAAAGGGCCACAGTTACTAGAAAGGGAAAACAGACCAGTTACCCCAAGGAGGGGCCTTGGGAACAATGATGATGGGCCCATGCAAATCTCTCCTACAGGCTGATCACATGTGGCCTCACATCTGGCTGCTGCCGAGACCTGGCCTCTATGCTCAGTGACAGCCCCAGCCTGACAGAGCTGGACTTGAGGAAGAACAACCTGGGTGACTTTGGTGTGAAGCTGCTTTGTGAAGTGCTCAAGAAGCCCACCTGCCAACCCAGGCTGCTGCAGTAAGGACCTGTGGATCCCTGCAGGGCAGAAGGTGGGAAGGTGACCTAAGAGGAAAGGAATGTGGGTCCCTGAAATGGACAGAAGAAATAAAGGGGCAGAAAATGAATTGTCAGCCTGCCTTCCCTACTAGCCCAACCACTTACTCAGTTCACGAGATATGGGAAGGTCTTCAGGTGAAACTCAGTTTCCTCATCTGTATTTTGGAACTTCCATATCCACTCATAGACTGTGATGAAATAAAATTATGTAACACGGGACAGGTCTCAGAACAGAGTTGAAAGGATAAAATGATAACCACTAATGACATCACCTGTTCTAGGGGACTGCCAGGTTCACTTCTCCACCCCAGAGCAGTCCTCCCTTCCTTCCTTGCCTCATTCACTCATTTATTCACTTCATGACTGCCATATACCAAGCAACAGACACTCCAGTGCCCTCCTAAAGCTCACACTCCAGTGCCAACCTGAGATTTGATAACCACATACTAAAACACAGTGTGCATTTCTAAGCCCCATGAAGTTTGGGAAGGGAAAATGTACTGTGTTATAAGAGTGTAACATAGGGGGAGATGGAATTACACTGAGGGGTAGGGAGGGCTTCTCTGGGTAGTGACATCAGGCTGAGACCTGAAGCACAAACAACAGCTGACCAGGCTTAAGCAGGGGCCGCTGTCCAGGAGAAGAACAGAATGTGGGGGAGACCCCAGGTCAGACACAGGCTCAGAGCCCTGGAAACCCCTGTGGCTGCAGTATAGGGACCACCCCCACCCCTGACCCTTGCTCCCATGCTGCCTGTCAGCCTCTTCATCTTTCCTCCCCATCCTGAAAAGAAGCCCACAGGCAGATTCTGATAACATTTCCCTGCAGGTCTGACTGGGTCCCTGTCACACACTCTCAGAGCTGACAGGGCTCCAAATCTCATGTCCTGATCCCAAGGTCTTGCCTAAGGCTCCAGCCAACTCTCAGCAGAGGCACCAAAGCTCAAGTTCATAGCCTTTCCACCCCAGGCCCCCCTTTCTCAAACCTAGAGCAGCAGGAGGGACAGGATAGTAGGGTTAAACACTCTACATGTAGGTCCCCCAATGCCCCCTCTGACCCTTCACACACAAGGGAGCTCCAGTCCATGGGGTTGGCACCTTCACACCCCAGCCCCTCTCTACTGGGCACTTGTGGCTGCCCCCACCCCTTCATGTTGAAGGGCCTCTCCAGAGCTGGGCCTGACTGTACATCTGCATTATTGCCCTGCTCATCAGTTCCTGGTCACCTCTTAGTAGCCTCAGAGAACCTCTTTCTTGGATATCCTAGAAAGGTTTCTGTCTCCTTTTTTCATAGAGCCCCAGGACTTTGCTGAGGGGGAACCCCTCCTACATCATGGCCCCATACCCTCCCCAGGGGAGAGCTGCTCTGACAGCAGTAGTGAGTACAGTGTGCACCCTTTACAGGGAGCATGGTCTTCTCACCTCCATGTTCATGGCTCACAGTAGGCAAAGAAGAAGATGTGGAGGCCCAGAGAGGGCAGCAGCTCCCAAATCCAATGGACACCTCAGCACACAAGGCCTATGAGAATGGGAACAGGGATCCCTCTCTCTGGAAAATCTTCTAGCCTCTAGGAAGGAAATCCCAGGACCTATTCCTATGTGGTCATTTTGAGGCCATGGAGACAGGCTGTCCTCTGGTGGCTGCTGTGAAGTGCTGCCCACTTCCCTTCCAGGAATGAAGATGTAACCCAAGGTCCTAGGAGTGTTTCCAGCAGCTGGCTACAGGGATGGACCTCACAACTAGAGCCATCTCACACAAGGTCAATTCCACCTCCTGGGGTCCAATGACAGACCTGGGTAGTCATATAAAGACCCAGCCCATCCTCCCAGTATGGAGTGGCCTAGAGGGTCACCCCCACATTAGAAGTCACGCAGAGTCACTGTGTCTCTTGAGTCTGCATCACAGCCCAATGTGTCCCTCTGCCCAATCTTGCTTCTTTCTTTCCTTTGTCCTGGGGTTGACCCAGCAACACACCTTATAAACATCCTAATGCTATTTATCATCTCAGAACCTGGTTTCTAGAATCTAACCTGTGACAGGTTCCTGTGGGAGGTAGAAGATTCCATAATTCTGGACTCTGAGGACCATGAGGTCTTGTGGGGTTCCAGGATAACCAGGTTTCCTTTGTGCTTGCAGCGTGGATAAGACCCAGCTGAGTGACAAGGTGAAAAAGATACTGAGGGACCTGAAGCAGGAGAACCTTCACCTTGGATCTTATCCACAGACAGGGGCCAGAAGTGAAGTGAGTAGATGTTGGAGGCAGAGACAAACTGAAGCAGGAAGAAGCCAAAAACCCACAGGAGTACTGAGCCTGGATCAGCCCAAAAGTGTTCTGTGTTATTCCCAGTGCACTGAAGCAGCTTCCTCAGAGATCTCAAGGAATATGAGTGCCTCTCTGCCCAGGAAGAAAAGACTGAGTTTCCCTAAAGAGGACCCAGGTAAAAGACAGGTGGATGATGACACATTCCCACTCAAATGGCATAGATCAGATTCAGGTACTTCAAAGGGGACAAAGAGGGAGCATCATTAATTGGGACAGGGGTGTGGAGATATGGAAGGTCATTCCCTCCACCCTCCTTCCTCTGGTGTGGGACATGCCAAAATGCCCCCCAGGATAGCCCTGACCCACGCAAGAACAACCACATCTGGAACCTTGCAAGATCTCTGCTTCCCTCTCTCCCAGCCTCAGGGGCTGTGGCCCCTCCTCTCCAGAAAATCACTGGCTTGTCTCAGACTCTAACTAGGGCCCAGTCTCCCAAGGCCCACACTGGGCTTCTGACACATGGGGGTCCCCTCTCCATCTCTGCCCATCCATTTTTTGAGCCACATACCTCTCACAACCTACCTTCCTGGTGGAGGCTGGAATAGCAATATTTCTGGACCAGTGGGAAGGGGGAGGTGGCAGGGTGTGGTCAGGGGGCAGCAATGTTGGCCTCCTCATACAGCAGGCAGGCAGCCCCAGGAATAGGGACAGAAGACCCAAACGCACTGCCTGCCAAAGTCCAGGTAGACCCGTCATGGGAAGGGCCTTCCATGGGGGAGCTAAGGGGGAAGGGAGACCAGACAGGAGAACCTAAAGCTGACCACCACCCCGCTGTTCCAGAGGGGAGCTCACCTCATGTAGTACAGGTAGAATCCTTCTGTCTGTCTTCTCCCTCTAGTGACTGAAGATGACTTCTGGGGCCTCACAGGGCCTGTGGCTACAGAAGTGCTCAACAAAGACAAGAGTCTGTACCTGTGAGTGGGGGGACTTATTCTGCCAGGATAGTCTACCTCAACCCCCGCCTTCCCCATATGGATTCCCAACAGATACTCCTCACCCTACTCATGGCCACTGGTTCCCTTCCATTGCCAAGCCAACAGACAGACACAGGGCTGATATACTGGGTGGGTGAATTTATTAAGGAAAAAGTGGTTTATTGGGGGTTTTATTATGCATAGTTGCAAACAAACACACACAAAAAAAACAAAGCTAAAAAAGGTTCCACTTACCATTCAGAAATCGAAAGCATTTTTGTATACCAGCAATGAAATATCAGAAACAGAAATCAGGAAAAAAAATCCCATTCGATATAGCAACAAGAAAATTAAGTTCCTAGGAATAAACCTAACCAAGGAGGAAAAAAGACCTGTCCTCAGAAAACTACACAATCCTAAAGAAATAAATTAAGGAAGACACAAGCAAACAGAAGCATGTATTGTGTTCACGGACTGGAAGAATTAACATCATCACAATGTCCATACTACCCAAAGCAATTTATAGATTCAACTCAATCCCTATTAAAATACCAATGACATATTTCACAGATATAGAACAAACATTTCAAAAATTTATATGAAACCATAAATGACCCTGAATAGCCTCAGCAATTTTGAGGAAGAAGAACAAAGTAAGAGGGATTGCAATACCTGATATCAAACTGAACTACAAGGCCACTGTAATCAAAACAGCCTGGTACTGGCATAAGAACAGACACATAGATCCGTGGAACAGAACAGAGAGCCCAGAAATAAACCCTTGTCTCTATGGTCAATTAATATTCAACAAATGGGGAAGAAGCATAAAATGGAGTAAAAATAGCTTCTTCAACAAATGATATGGGGAGATCTGGACAGCTACATGCAAAAAAGTGAAACTTGACCACCAGCTTATGCCATATAACAAATAAACTCAGGGTGGATAAAAAACTTAACTATAAGTCACAACATCATAAAAGTTCTAGAGGAGAACATAGGGAGAAAAATCTCAGATATTTCTCCATGCAGCAATATTTTCACTGATATGTCCCCTAAAGCAAGGGACATAAAGGAAAGAATAAGCAAATGGGAATTCATCAAAATAAAAAGCTTCTGCACAGCTAGAGAACACATCAGCAAAATGAAAAGAGAACAAAACATATGAGAAAATATATTTGCAAATGATACCTCGGACAAAGGTTTGATCTGCTAAGTATATAAAGAACTCATATGACTCCACTGCAGGAAGACAAAAAAAAAAAAATTTAAAAATGGGCAAAGGACCTGAGCAGACACTTCTTCAAGGAGGACATACAGAGGGCCCAGAGACTTATGAAAGGATGCTCAGCATCACTAGCCATCATCAGAAAGATGCAAATTAAAACCATACTGAGATACCACTTCACACCGGTCAGAATGGCCATCATAGCCAAGTCAACAAACAACAAGTGTTGGAGACGTTGTGGAGAAAAGAGAACCCTGTTGCACGTGGGTCACCGGCCAGCAGTGACCACGGAACACTGTGGATGGCTCGACAATAAACACGCGAGAAATAACAACATGCACAGAGACAAACTAGTTTCTGTGGGGAAGTAGGGACGAAATGGCCACCCCCCTAGTGGGGAGCGCGCTGATTTACAGTCCATACCTGCTTTTATTGGGCTCATTCTGCATAATAATTCAGGTAAAGTACAGTACTCATTCGGGGAAGTAAGGAACCATAGAAAACAAAGAACTCTGCCGGTCTATTGAGTCGGGGGTCAAAGAGCTGTAAGACTGAGGAACAAACTAACTTCCTCCTAAGACCCTTCTCATTCAACTGAGAGCATTCTAAACAAAGAAGGTTTCACAGTAATTTACATGTTCTTTCTTAGGCCTGATCACCCCGGGGAATCTGCACTTCTCAGTACTGAGCTGCACCACCCTGTCATTGTTTCAGGCTTAGGTGGAGCAAGGGAACTAAGGCAACCCAGAGACAAGGAGGTTTTTTCCCAGACGCTGAGAGCTCAGGCTATGTCAAAGCCGAGGAGCGAGGGTCCATCACCCCCTTTTGCTGCAGCCCCCCAAGTCCTTCTTTTGGGGGGGGCCTCCCAAAGTGATCGTGCCTGTCTTAGGTCGTCCCCCCTGTGGGGAATCTTACCCGTCTTTGGCTAACCGACCAAGCTTTTTGGGGTTCAGTCATGAATAAAGCAGCAGAAGCAACATTCCTGCCAGGGAGATAAGCTTTTGTCTCCTTGCTGGCTTACGGTTCCAAGGGCATTCCCTTAGCCTTAGCCTAAGTGGGGGTTTCAGCTTCTGATACCAGTCAGGGCGGTTCCCAACAGAACCCTAGTGCACTGTTGGTAGGAATGCAGATTGGGGCAGCCACTGTGGAAAACAGTATGGAATTTCCTCAAAAAACTAAAAATGGAATTGCCTTTTGACCTGGCAATTCCACTGCTGCGACTATACCCTAAGAACCCTGAAACACCAATCCTAAAGAACTATGCACCCCAGTGTTCATAGCACCACAACTTACAATAGCCAAGTGCAGGAAACAGCCTAGGTGCAGACCCATCAGTAAATGAGTGGGTCAAAAAACTATGGTACATTTACACAATGGAATTCTATGCAGCAGAAAGAAAGAAGGAGCTCCTACCCTTCAAGGTAGCTTGGATGGAACTAGAGAGCATTATGTGAAGTGAAATAAACCAGAGGGTGAAAGAAAAATACCATATGATCTCACCTATAAGTGGAACCTAATCAACAAAACCAACAAACAAGCAAAGTATAACCTGAGACAGTGAAATTAAGAACAAACTGACAGTAACCAGAGGGAAGGTGGGAAGGGATGACAGAGGCAGAAAGGGGAAGAGTCATCAAGAACATGTATAAAGGACACATGGACAAAGCCAAAAGGGTGAAGGATGGAGGGTGGGAGGTGGGGACAGTGGTGGGGGGGAAATGAAGACAACTATACTTGAACAATCATAAAAAATGAACTAAGAAAAATAATAATTTTTTTTAAAAAAGGAAGTTCCACTTACCAATTACTCATCTCCAACAACCCTTTTACCAACCCTTTTACCAAATTTCTTTCAACTATCCACTTCCCCCCATTTTGTTTTTACAGTGTTTTAAATCCAAGTGATCAGATGATTCATCCTTACATATTTTGTGATGCACTTTGAAAAAGACACATACACATAAAGTCCTTTTCTTCAATAACCACAACACCATTATCATATCTAACAGTGTTTACAAGTTATTTCCCTGTCATCTAACACCAAGTCTGTATTCAGATCCACTCAGTTGTCCAACATGTGTCCTTGGAGGTGGGCTGTTCTAATCAGGATTCAGACAAAGTCCACTCCTTGTATTTGGTTTATTATGTCCAATAAATCTCATTTAAATCTCATTCCATCTATATGTTCTTTTTATATAAATATCCATAATGTGCAAAGTATGCAAATAACAAGGAGCCCTGGCCTGCTTCCCAAGGGTTCCCAGTCAAAAGTAATAAACACCTATAATCTTAGTCCCCATCTCTCAGATAATACAGTGGCATTTGCTGTCACAGACATGATCTGCGTTGGGAGACAATATTACCCCCAACTTGCACACACAGAAGCTGACATCCCAGGGACCCATTCTTTACCCACAGGAAACCCAGGTAAAGTGTACGATCTCTATATGGTGTTTCTTTATGCTCCAAGAGGTTAGCATTAATAGCACCATATAAATTGCTTTAATTATAGAAAAATTGGCCCTATAAATACAATAACCCTTTCCTATTTTATTATATATTATTATCACTCCCATCATCATTACAGAAACAGCTAACCACACCCAGACCTATATGAGCTCTCAGCACCCATTAGGTCACTTATCACTCACAACTCCAGGAGATGGCGCTATTCTTACTTTACTTACACAAAACTGGGATGAGGGACATCAATGACTTGCTCAGGGATCCACAGTAGAGAGCAGAGGGGCCAGGACTCAAACCCACATCCCTCTGACAATGGTATCTGAGCTTGCAGCCACTCTGCTAGATACACAGGGCCATGCACAGGGTCAGACATTCAGTAGGTACTCAGTGAGGTTGTGTAGAGTGAGTAATTCACTGCCTACCTCTCCCTGTTCTCCCAGAGTTCACTTCCCCATGGCTGGCTCCTACCATTGTCCCAACACGGGTCTCCACTTTATAGTGAGAAGGCCAGTGACCATTGAGAATGAATTCCATGCCTGGAGACAGTTCCTGGACCAGATTGTCCCACAGCACAGCTGGATGGTGGCAGGGCTTCTCCTTGACATCAAGGCGCAACCAGGAGCTGTGGCAGCTGTGTACCTCCCTCACTTTAAAGATCTCCAAGGTAAGCAGTGGGGGATGTGAAGGGCAGGTGACAGTGGTAAGAATGGGCTTGAAGTGACCTCAGTTGGCAATGTCCTGAGGAGGGAGCTTGTGGCTTCCTCAGACAGACTGAGGAAGAGTTATACAAGTGCAGACAACTTTCTCTCTTATTCCACAGTGCTCTGGGCATATCCTTTTTCAAACATTTCTGTTCACAAGCATCATAATTATTTTTGCCTGAATTACTTGAAATTTTCCCTCAATCAAAAGTAGTCTCCTCTATAACAATAATAACTAGCATTTTACAAAGTTTTCTTCATGTGGATTGTATCACTAGAGTCCCATCAGGAAACATGACACACTCAGTTGAGATTTTCAAAGAGACTTTATAAAAACTAGACTGTTTACAAAGTAACGCTAAGTTAACAAACAAGAAAGGTTGGGGTCCCTGGAGGCTAACAACAAATAAAAAGCCATTGATACTATCACTGTGAGAGAAGAAACAATGTCACCAGACTCCAAGGGAGAGCTCAAGCCAGTAAAGAGGGGCACCCAGTAAGAAACAGAGTCAAAAATGGTTACATGGTTGTCCCAAACTCTCCCACCTCCAAAGACTTCCCACAGATTAAGTTACAAAAGATGTAGGTTCTCAGTCAAAAACCTCATAAACCAACCCAAGGCATCATATGTGAGAATCAGCAGAAATCTCAGACACCAGATATCAGTCCTAAAAATAGTCATTAAAGTATGCACAAGAAGCAATAAACCAAGTTTGTGAAAACAAGCTAAAATGACAGAAAATATAATAAAGCATAAATAAGAAAAGATAAACTGACATGGAAGAAACTATGAGAAGGCCTAACATACTTTTAATCAGAATTCCAAAAGGATATTATAGAGAAAATGGAGAAGGTATAATATTCAAAGAGAGAATTTCCAATAAATTACTAGGATTGCTGAAATATATGATCTCTTTTTTTTATTCATTTTTATTGATTATGCTATTTCAATTCTCCCAATTTTACCCATTTGCTCTTCTTCCACCCTGCACCCCCCACTCCCTCAGGCAATACCCACAACATTATTCATGGCCATGGGTCAGGAGTATAAGTACTTTGGCTAGTCCATTTCCTATACTGTATTTCACATCCCCATGACTATTCTGTAGCAACCAATTTGTACTTCTTTTTTAAAAAAGATTTCATTTATTTATTTAGAGAGAGGGGAAGGGAAGGAGAAAGAGAGGGAGAGAAACATCCACCTGAGAGAGAAACATCAATCAGTTTCCTCCCACACACCCCCAACTAGGGACCTGGCCTGCAACCCAGGCATGTGCCCTGACTGGGAATTGTACCTGTGAGTTTTTTATTCACAGGCTGGCACTCAGTCCACTGAGCCACACTAGCCAGGGCCTATTTGTACTTCTTTATCCCTCACCTCTACACACATTCCCTCACACCTCCTCCCATCTAGCAACCATCAAAACCATCTCCCTGTCCATAATTCTGTCTCTGTTCTTCTTGTGTGCTTAGTTTGATTTTTAGATTCAGTTGTTGATAGATCTGTATTTATTGCCATTTTATTGTTTATAGTTTTGATCTTCTTTTTCTAAAATAAGTCCCTTAATGTAACATTTCCTATAATGTAAAATATTATATTCCATATAATACTGTTTGGTGACGATGAACTCCTTTCATTTTTCTTGCCTGGGAAGCTCCTTGTCTGCCCTCAATTCTAACAAGGAGGAAACTTAAAAATCCAAAGCAGGAGAGAGGAAAGAGATAAATTAGCACTGAATCAATTATAGTGAATCTACAAAATGCAAAAGTCTCAGGGCAGGTTTTAACGGCAGCCAGAAAGATTATTGAGCAAGGTGCTGAAATTAGGATATCACCTGATTTTTCAGCAGAAGCAATTAGAAGCAGAAGACATGAATGATATTCTCAAAGTTTGGAGAAAATAATTGTCAATCGCAAATTGAAACCACAGAAATATTATTTTTAAGAACAGGGGGTTGGTGTCAGAGGAATGGTGGCACATGAGATCCCCTTGGTGTCTGCGCCTGAAATTTCAACAATTTGATCAGCTATAACTTAACAAAAGATTCCCTGCTCAACATACAAGCAGACCTGTGAGATCCACACATGGAAGTATCTAAAGGTGAGCAAACAGGCAAGGTGAGAAGGGAGGAGAGCTCAGGCATTCTCAGACACAGCCTTGCAGCCCCAAGTTGTCAGAGGGCTTGGCTCAGAGACTGGACGAAGTTGACTGTAGCCGGTGGCTACATCTGGGAGGAGCAGAGTCTCAGTGGGCACTTCTGCAGGAGTGAGTGGTGCAAACTGCGCCTGCGCCTGCTGACGCAGTCGGGAATCCTGGACTAGGATAAGGCACAGGGGTTCTGCCAGTTTTGAGCCGTCCTGTGTTCAGTGTTTCCAACAAACAAAAGGAGCCTCAGAGCCCTGACACCTCTTAAACTCCCAGATTTTGCCTCCCCGGCACCCTTGCTGTCAGGTGTTAGAGCACGTCATCTGCAAACCCAAGGACTATTACGTCAAAATCCTTACTTCCCTGGGTGACTGATCCCCAGTTGGGGCAGGAGGTTACCCATTGGAACTCGCAGGTCACATTACCGAGTGGGCAAAACAAACCCTACCCCCAAATATCACAGCTGTATGTGGCATGCTAACTGCAGCCACAGACGTCAGCTTTAGGATTTCACAGGGCTAAAAAACTTGTGATTTCCTGCCACCTGCTGGAAAATAGTAGAAAGACCTCTTCACACAAATCGGCTAGTGAATTACCAATACATGGATCCCTAGACATAGAAGGAGCCCAACAAATACCATGAATAACCAAGGGAGTAAGGCATCTCAGAAAAAAAAAAATGGAAAATCTCCAGAAAGCAAACTGGAACACAGTGAAATATGTGATATACCTAACAGAGAATTCACGATTGCAGTTCAACGAACAAAATAAGTATTTTACCAAAGATCGAAAATTTTAAAAAGAACCAAACAGAACCCCTAGACATGAATCATTCAATAAAGGAGAACAGGAATAAATTACTGAGCATAGGAAACAGAGCCAATCAGATCTGTGAGAGAACTCCATCCCATGGAGCTCTTCCCCAAAGTGGATGAGAATAAGTCGTCCGAGACACAATCTTGTTCTGGGGAGAAAGGGGCTGGTGATTCCCTCTAGTGGAGAATGCCCCCAGCCTTTCCCCAAAATGGCTTTCTTTAGGATCAGAATGTGCAGGGGTATACAGTAGGCATGCATAGCTCATCAGTCAATGTCAACAGGTATTATCTATAGATAACAAATGAAGGAACACAGAGATGTGCCTCAGGGTCTGTGAGACATGCTGACACCAGATGGTTGTAAAGGCATATTTCCTGACCCAAGGAGTTTCACTCCTGATGCTTTAAACTTAATTGTCTGGTTTATGCCAACAAGGCTGTACAGAGCAAAGCAAGCTTCAAAGGATACAATGTATTTATCAGGCCTGATTTCCCACAGGAACCCTTAGTGTTAGTGTGGAGTCCAGCATGTCACCTGTATTCCTGGTTTTCCAGTGAGACTCACTGGCCTCTTTCAAGGCCTGCTCTCATGGGACTACAGTCTCCAAAACCACACAGAGTGATCCCCACACAAATGGGAGAAAGAATTAGTGATACTGAAGATAAGAATCTAGAAATGATGCAGAGCAAACAAGTAAGAACTGAACATAGAAAAATGAAAGACCTCTATGAGAACTGTCTGGCTCAATCAGAAAAAGCAATATGAGAATTATAGGTGCACCAGAAGAAGCAGGGAGAAGGGAACAGAGAGCCTATTCAAACAAATAGTGGATGAGAGCTTCCCAAACCTATCAAAAGAACTAGATCATCAAATCCAAAAGGAAACAGAACACCTCATAAATTTTATCCAAAAAGGCCCATGTTATTAATACTGTCAAAAATTAATGGAAAAAAATTCTCAAAGCAGCCAAGGAAAAATGAAAGTAACCTACAAAAGAAAGTCTATCAGGTCATCATCAAACTTCTCCCAGAAAATATAAGCCAGAAAAGAGTAGAACCAAATACTCAAATACTAAATGCCAGACATTACCACTCAAGAAAAATATATCTGACAAAGTTATTCTTTAAATAGAAGGAAAAATAAAGAACTTTCCAGTCATACATAGCTCGGGAATTTTATCACCAGAAAACCTCCACTGCAGGAAATATTCAAGGGAGTTATTCTACCTGAAACAAAGAGTAAAATCTCACAACACCGTGAGTAAGATCACAGAAAAAAAAAAAACCCTTACAGCATAAACAGGGATACTTTGTGACAACAGAAACATAAAAGGGGAGGGTGCAAAGGTTTGAACTGGCAAAGGAGGATGGAGATCAGATATATTCAAAAGAAAAGAAAATCAACTGTAAATATGCAACTTTTAAAATCAACTTAATGGTAACACACCCACAAAAAAATCTAAAACTGAGAAACATAGCTTTAGAACAGAGAAAACAGTAAAGATGTATGGAATACCCCCAAACAAAATCGATCAGCAGAAACACAAAGGGAAAGAAACTATGGAGGCACAGAGCTACCAGAAAACAAAGGATCAAATGGCTGCAGGAAATTCTCATACATCAACAATTACCATCAATGTAAATGAACTGAATTCACCAGTGAAGAGGCACAGACTAGCAAACTGGATCAAAAACAAAGCCCAACCATGAGCTGCCTTCGAAGACACATCTAAGGGGCAAAGGCAAAGGTAGATTGCAAGTGAAACGGTGCAAAATAATTCTCCAAGCAAATAACCTTCACAGAAAGGCATCTGTAGCCATACTGATATCTGACAAAATAGATTTCAAGATAACAAAGGTAAAAAGAGACAAAGATGGACATTCTGCAATGGTAAAGGGACACTACATCAAGAAGAAAACACTTCTTAATATGTAGACACCCAATCAGGGAGCACCAAAATTTATAAAGCAATTACTCACAGAGCTAAAGGGAGAAACAGTC